GAAGAATCATTTGCCCTATTTAACAGCCTACACCAACTGGTTGGTTTCCCGACCCATATCCCTGACCGTGCTGGCGACCACGCCCATACCCTCGATTTTGTCCTCATATCCAGTCCACAATTATTTTCAAATGTTGCTGTTATTCCTCCCCTAGGTTGATCGAACGTACATTTTGGTGATATGGTTCCGCTGACTGGTGCAGCTTTCGTACCTTTCTGGCTTCCTACCCCTGAATGCTCTTCCACCAATATCTCCATCTCCGCTTTGAATTTCTCCAGAGTTCTATAGCAAGGCCTGCACCTATTTATTCCTCATTTCACCAAACCCGGCAAGCCTATTTCTCCAGAATGGTTCAACCACGCCTGTTGTCGCGCCGTTTGTAAAATGAAATCAGCTTCCCGCCGCTGGCTTCGGTCACCTTCCCCCAACTCCCGCCGATGGTTCGTGTTAGCACGTAACAAGTGTACAACTATCATACAGAAGGCTAAAGAGCACTTTGCTGAGCGCAAGGCGACACAATTGGCGACCGCTCCTTCCGGAAGCCGGACGTTCTGGTCACTCGTAAAGGCAGTGTCCCGTAACTTCTGTTCCACTAACTTCCCACCCATTGTTAAACCATCCAGTGACTTAGCATCTAACTTGTTGGAAGAAGTAGAAGTGTTCGCCTCCCATTTTGCTTCCAATTCTACCCTTTTCGAATCACCCATCCAACCCCGCACACACCTTCAGCCAACCATCTTTTCACACCGCTCATTTCCACCAGTTTCAGTTCAGTTTGAACAACCATTAACCACGCATAATCGTGCGCCGGTTTTGGTTGCTGTCTTTTGGCTGCCCATTTGGATGAAGACTAGGGGGAAGAAAAGAAACTTGAAAGTGGAGTCGAAAAGAAAATGGAGAAGTTCAGTGGTCTAAGGTTGCAAAGAAATTGAGAAGATGCACGAACGCCACGGGTTGCGACACCCAGCCGTATCATTCATTGTCTCTAACTATCGGTTACGATCATCCCAAGGTCCTCAACCAGGGAGCCTAATAGAAATTATGTGACCCAGACTCGTGGTCAGGGTTTTCATATCCTCGTGCCAGGTCTTAGTTTGACCACCCTTGGCTTTTTTCCACCCGGTGCCTGCTTCCCTTTCTCTGATTTTTATTGATGACCTTTCTTCAACTTCAGATCTTATTCACGCCTTTGCGGATGACGCTACTCTACACTCTTCTCTATCCTATTCCTCTCCGCGCATCGCTAACTCCAGCATTAGTGACGATCGCTCCTCCCTTAGTTTCTCCCTAAATTTCGATCTGGGGCTGTAGCAATCGTGTTCTGTTCAATGCCATTAAAACTTCCCTTATGTTCATTTCTCTTAAACACATTTTCTCCCCTTCCTTGAATTTCAACTCGAA